CGCATGGTCTTCGGCGGCTACTGTACATTCAGTGCCGCATTTGGCAGAGTTATAAGCTATAGAATGAACAGAGCTGGTGATCTAGCCAGTCAATGAAAAACTACTTCTGATATATCTCGAGAAGCGCCATTTCTATGGTTTCTGTGTCACTACATTTAATGGTTATATAGCCTCACAAGTTTCGGATGTCATCAGTAATTAGTAAGGTTTCCCTTACTCACTTTCTGTCCATCTATTTGAACATTTTTTTAAAAGTTAAGGCCGCGCACTTGGCATTTGTATTACGTACTGAAAACCCGATTTGCTTCCACGAATAAAGCCGGAAGAGTTCCAACGAACCTCAAGGCTACTGCAGGAAACACAAGCCTTACAATCACCTGGGATCCACCTAAAGGACGTCCTATGGGTGAACTTATGTACTATGTGGTGTCGATTAGGCAATTGGGTGGCATCGAACTTTACCGAGGCCATCCAGTTCGTGAACAAACTTGGACGGTTCCGAAGTTGACGCCTGCCAAAATGTACAGAATCAAAGTAAGGACAAGAAACAAAGGTACTGAACACATTGGATATGGCGGCGGTGTTGGCATGCCAGCAACCAAAGATGTTGGAACTTTGCCGAGTGGTAAGATGTCACTTCTTTTGACATTACAATCGTACTTGCTGGATTCTTCGTCAGTAGTAATTTAGTTAAATCGGCGATTGAAATAGCCCCTCTGTAGCAAAAGTCCTTTAACTGGAAGATGAGGGTCAGCAAGCTGACAATAGTTCAATCAGCGGTCGTATCATGTGGCCGTATCCTGCTATTATTTGTTGACAAAGGTGGTTTACTTAGTGAATCCCATAAACCTCTAGTCCAAGTATTCTTTCCTATGAAAATTGTAGTAATAGGGACTTTTGAGGCGGCGAAATACGATAGACTGTCATATAAATTTGCGCGGCTGCTGGGAGCAAATTGTCCGCCTGTAAATTTAAGGTGTGCGCAGTATTTCGCGCCGCGGACTATACTTATCTAATTCCGGAACGAAATATTGGACCTCAGGTAAGTTGAAGCAGACGACCTTCTACTCACCATTTCTATGTTTCACGAATTTCAGAAAACCTGCGTTTTGATAGTCGCGTTTTTCCGCA